TCCACCGTTGCGTTGAAACTCTCCACGTTTACAAGCGGCAACACTGCCGCTGGACAGTTTCACCTTCTGGAGAGTTTCAACTCTTGACTATTATCAATCAGGTATATTTTCTTGGACAGATTCACCCCTCTGCTACTCCCAGAATATAAATTGAGTGATATTTCGGTGACATATTTGGGTGATCTCGTTCCCATATATCCCTTATGGTTTATGGTGCTGACGCGGGGGCGGGCTTATTCAGGGACTTCAGGGTGCAAAAAGTTTCAGGTATTGTCAAAAGGAGATGCTTGGTGGGGCGTAACGCAGTTTCTTAACTATGAATAAAGCATTAAATTTTATACAAGCAAAATTTGAAAATACCATATAAATATGAGGTTGCAACTAATATTGTGAATATAATCAAAAAAGGGTGAAACGTGGTGTTTTCTGAAAACTTAACAAGAAATTTGGATTTTTATGTTTGGGAAATACCTGCCATAAAAACATTATGCATGCTTATATTTTTTATTAATAAAACGAGATTGATTTCAATCCCACTCAAATTAAAAAGCTGAGGCCTATTAATTACTTTATTGTGAATTATTTTACATTCCGTTGCGTTTACATAAATTGGTTTAGTTAAAAATCACTGAAGGGCTTTAGGTTCACTATTAATAGTCTCGTAGATTTTCTCTCCCGCGGCAAATAAAGGTTAAATTATAAATGAAGTATCCAAAATTTGTATACGTCTCTGAGTAAGAAATCTGTAATTTTGTTGTGCCTGAGCGAAGGTGGCAAAGCAGCTCATTCAACCCTTTGTATAATTTGTTGTTTGCGACCTATTTCTTGCTCCAAGGGGAGGTTGTGAGCGAGCCAGAAATGCAGTCGATGAGGCATATAGGCGCACACAAAGGAAACAATAAAAATAGCCCAAGGGTTCGTGCGCTGAGCGAAAAAGATCTTCCAGGAGAGGCAGTAAAAGGAAGAAAAATCTTTTTCGTCTCTCCTGCGGTCTGTGGAATCAGCTGATTGCTGCAAAAATCCATTTCTGTTTTTAATTATTTGCAATTGTTCTTAACGCAGCAAAATTATAAAACGTGCATCATTAAATTCTAAATAAATATTTTTACTTTGCCTGTTTTTCTCAAATTTTTCATAATATTTAAAGTGTCATTAAAATTAAAAAATGTGGATATTTGATAAATTTTTGAAAAAAGTTTCTTTTACTATCCAGAGACGTTTATTCTAGAATGGTAAACGTTTTGTTTGTAAAATTCTGACCAGCAGTTTTCTTAATAACACGCTCAATAGTTTTCCATTTTTGACGCGTTTTTTTTCACTTCGAATTTAATATTAAAAAAACAAAAAGGGTTATAAATTGCTCTGCAACAGAATTTTGTGCGCAAATATGTGCCACATATCTGGAATTTTTGAAACATTTTTTGGTACAAAAGAAAGTACAGTATTCAGCAAAATATGCTAATTTTTTAAGTTTTTTCTTAATAACTTGCTCGCGTTGACAACGAATTTTTTCAAAAAATTTGTAGACGTAGATAGGGCAAAAATGAAAACATCCATAAAATTTGGAGCTCACTGCTTTAATGGGAGATGAGAAATCAGCAATTAATACATTTGTCACGCCCAATTCTAGCGGCGCGAAAAAGCAGCCGTACGCTTATAGCAGAGTGAAGCCGAGATTTTAGATCACTTGGAAGCGAGAATTCAAATTTTTATAACTTTGCTCCTAATTAAAATAAAATGTTCATTTTTGAAAAAGGGGTTCAATTTTCTTTTTACCATCAACTTTTGTATCAAAAGTTTTTAGGTAACTTTATCTGGAACCTACATAATTGAACTTTAAGATTTTATGCTAATCGAAAAAATTTAATAAAAATCGAAAAAAAGTGAATTTTAAAAGTATAACAAAGAGATTATTTAAAATTTATATGTAATAAATAAATTTAAATATTTACTCGATATTTCAAAAGAATATTCTCACATTCGCTAGATATTGCAAATTTATTAAATATTTTATAAATATTTATGGAGTTTTAACAATGTTATATTTATTTATTTGGCATTTTAAATGTTTGACAATTTAAATATTTTAAATTAGATAAATGACAAACGAATTGTAAAAAAATCAAAGTTTGAGAGCAATTAAAATTGTTTTAATTACGACTAAAAGCTAAATTGCACACCGCGCTAGATAATTGACCAATATGGAAGTTTTAAATTTGATTCTGCTCTGCGTGAGAATGAAGGTGCATTAATTTTTTAAATGAGAGCTCAACCGCATTTTATTTAATTAAAACAGAGAATTGAATCACAGGCTAAGAGAAAAATTCCTGTTTACACCTTGCAGGCCCATGTTAACTAAAGTGTTTCTTTCTCTCGCACAACCTGCAGAAGTTGTCAGCCAGAGCACTTTTTCAATGATTATTTGAGACAATGTTGATCAATCTGGGGGTTTTCAATAGAGAGATTGAAAGACCCCAGACGGCCGCGGGTGACCCAGCTGACCGCCATCACCGGCCCCACGGCGCCTTGTTGTTCGCGAGCCAGGTATATGTGTTGCGCACTTGTCTTTTTGTTTTCTGGCTGTTTTTATGAGAAAATAATTTTATTTCCCATGGTTGCACAGCTCAAATTGAGCGATTGAGACTTATTCTTATGAGAACTGATAAATGACTACAACCCATAAGAAATTTGAATATAAAAAGTATGTTTAAACAGCACTTTTTTGCACAAAAATGATAATCATTATATCATTATTAATTAAACTAAACGAGTTCTGTTTTTATTTAAATAGTTCATCATAGCTCACTGTAAATGAACTTTTAAACTTTATTATTTATTATTTTATTATTTTAAAATTATTGATATATCAATGTGACATAAAATAAAAGTTAAATCATTCCTGCAGAGGTTACTGCTGGGCAGTTTCAACCGTTGTGGTGAATCTGTCCGAGAAAATATACCTGATTGATTTAATTGTCAAGAGTTGAAACTCTCCAGAAGGTGAAACTGTCCAGCGGCAGTGTTGCCGCTTGTAAACGTGGAGAGTTTCAACGCAACGGTGGAAACTGTCCAGTACTGGAAAATAACAATTAGCAGCATTATTTACAAGTTGAAACTGCCCAGAAGGTGAAACTGTCCAGCGACAGCGGTGCCACTTCTAACCCTGGAGAGTTTCAACTCAATGGTGGAAACTGTCCAATATTGAGAGCATTAAAAGATACAAATAATTACATCATTGCAATCGATTATTTGTCCCTCTCAAAATATATTATATACGATTCCATTTCTCACTTTTCTTGGTCATGCCCTCACAATTCACTCCTCCCCATATAAGGGTGTGTTTTTTGTAAATCCTCCATCTTTTGGACGGTTTCAACCCCTGGACAGTTTCAACTCTGGACAGTTTCCACTCTCCCGTCTGTGTATATGTTGTGTGTGTATAATTTTATTTATTTTTTATCTCGGTACGTTAGCGAAAACGTATTGTGTGCGCGGCGAAGAAATTGGCCCGCGGTGGCGGAGCAAATGTAATTCCAATAGAAAAGTGCCTGCGGGCGCGCACAATTTGCAAAGGTGGAAAGGGCTGGTTGGCGAATTGAATCAGCCAGCAAGCCATGCGCCAACTCTCTAATGTTTGAGTTTGCCGACCGCTCGCTTCGCTACAAGAGCAGTGAAATGAATCGATCGCGGGCACACACACGGCGCGGGGTCGCGCCGGATAAAAGAGCCGGCCCAATATACTATAATGTGGAGCGCCAAATGCGGCATGTGAGAGTGAACGAGCGAGCACGCCATGTTAGCCCCAGACCAGCCGCCGCGGCCCGGTGCATGCTTGCTGATTTTATCGCCCGCCGAGCGTGTACCGCGTTTAGCGCGATTTGCCTGTGCCTGCAGCCCCAGAGAGCGAGAAAATCGTCCGTCCGTCCGCCCTGTTTGTTGTTCGCGGATCGGCACGGAATGCGCCTGATTTCGCTTTGTGGCCAATATTGAATGCCCAACAATGAGCTCTGATGTTATCTTTGAGAAGAAAATAAAATCGAAAGAAAAACTCTAATCAAACTTTTTTTAATTCACTCCAAATTTCAAAAAGATTAATATATATGCATTGTTTTTCTCAGATATTTTTTATGATTTTCTCTATTTTCATCTATTTTGACACCATTTCAAATTTCTAAACTTTTTTGCCTTTTTTTTAAGAAATTTTTGCAGAATTCATAGAAGTTTCAATTCAAAATTCATTATTTGTTTTAAATTGGATTAAAAACAATTATTTATTTTAAATTCAAAATCGCTGCATTCATAAATTTTTATTTACTAAAAAAAAATGTAGTTTGAATTCTTTAAAAAAACTTTATTTTACCAATTCCTCATTTTTTTTGCCTGTACAGCTGTTTTAAATAAATAAATTAAATTCAAAATTTATTTCATCTCAAATTAAAATACGCACTAATGTCTCAAAATTGTATTTTTAAGATTATTGAAAAATATTTCTCCTTAATTTAGAGTTAAAATCTATAAATATGATTCATTTTCCAAGCTGAAATGACTGGGAATGACAATAAATAATGTCAATTACTATTAATATCCAGATTTCTGAGCTTGAGTTTCCAGTCTGCGTTGAATAATAGATTCATTCACCCTTTGGAAAGTGAAAATCTACTCTGAGAATTCCAGGAACAATATCCACTTCATCATATCGGCAGAACCGTTCCATTAACTAAAATGTCAAGAGATCTCATTCGAGCGTACCAAGAAGGAAAATTATATATAAATAAATAGTCGCAGATCGAAACAATCCGAATCACGTGGGCTGCAACGCGATCTGTTGCAAAACGGGCTAATTGGACGTTGTTTGGCGAGAAAGCGAATATCATGCCCGCCCTCGTCCGTTTCTCACTTTCGGCGAAAGCGAGAGCAGAGAGACGTGACTCCGAGGGTTGCTGTCGAGTGTTGGGTTTTGGGGCGTGTCCGTCTCTCGGATGGTTTTGAATAATACTCACTTTGGCGGTGGTGAGCACGTAGAGGAAGTCGCCACTTCGGTCCACGCTGGTGTCGGGCAGGATTGCGTTTCCAGGGTCCAGCACGATTTCCTCGTACTCGAAGGCCGAGTTGCCGTCGGAAATGAACACCTGAAACAGAAAATGAGAAGAGGGTCGTGAGATTCCATTTTGGTTTTTGAAATGAAATGTGGATATCAAATTATGCATATGTGCACGGAAATTTAACATGCGTAGATAGGAAGTTTATGCAGATTTGAAAAAGAAAAACACTGACGATAAGAATAAAATAACCGAAATCAGGATGAAAAATGATAGAAGTTTTTGGTACAAATAAATTCACAGTAATTTGGTTAATTTTTTCATTATTTACTGAAATTGTTTTCAGTGGAAAAATGTAAGTTGCTTATGATTTTATTTTTTTAGATTTGAAAATTAAAATTAAAAAATTAATACACCAAATTAGCCACAGAGATATTTCTCATTTCAAGAATTATCAATCTATGTTAATTGCACGCAGCCAAAGAATAATTGTTTTTAAAATAAAATAAAATAAAAATAGAAAATAAGGAACAAAACTTTAATTCGATCATGATCTCCATTGAAAATTCTTTTGAATGATTGTAAAAATATTTATAAATATTTTTAAATAAAATTTAATAAAATAAAATCAATTTGTTAAAACATTTATATTAAATTAGGAGTAAATTAAATAAATTTTTATTATTTATTTATAAAAATTTATGTAAGTTATAAGTTTAAAGTAACATTTACAATGGTTTTCACTTACAAAAATATAATACAATAATTTATTTTGCATTAATAAAAATTCATAAAATTTGGAAGTTTTCATTATTTAAATGACTTTTCAACTAAAAATACTATCTATGTTTGAAGAATTTCGGCTTTAAAATTTTGAAAGCATTTTCTTCTGCATAAAATGAAATTAAATGCCAAAAATTAATTCAATAATTGTGAGTATTTATAATTAAAAATTAAATCGAGCTTGTGCAAACAAAAATAATTTGCTCATATATTTGTCAGACATATTTCTCTTCAGCTCGTAATATCTCTTTTGTTCGGATTCTTATTTCATTAATTCTCCTTTGTATTAAACGTCCTTTCTATATTGCATTTAGAAAAAAAGCGAGCCTTTTCATCGTCAATGGCCGGTCAGACGTTAATATTGCAGCAGGACAGAAAAGTCGACAGCACTTGTCTGCCCTTTTCTGCAAAACAAAAGGTGAAAAGGGCCGACGCGGCGACGAGCTGAAGAGGAAATAAGATAGTAATGGAGATGGATATTTACAAAAGAGAGCAAGCAGGGCGGAATGCAGCGGCCGGACAGTGGCGAAAGAGGGTCATTGTCTTTCTCTCTTCCTCACAAAGATGCAATTTCGCGTTTTTTCGCTCGCCGGCGAACAAAATGCCAGCAGGCGGTGCAGCGGAGCTTGTTTGAATTGTAATGGATGGGACAACTATCGCCGTATATAAAAGAGCAGCGAAGCATCTTTTTATTTTCAGGCTGCATTTTATTTCAAATTATTATATACGAATTGCCTGCAATCGCCTGCGGCCGAGCAGGAATTAAAGGTAGTACCAGAGAGAGAAATAAAGATCGAGAGAATTTATTAGTGCAAAAACCCAGGAGGAATATCAGTGTAACCTTTTTTTGTCCGGCAGGTATAATGAACAATATTTGCCGGGGGCGGAACGTGAGAACAGCAGAGGCAAATCAGGTGGAATTAATTTAAATAGAAAATTTTCTCAGAAATAGAATATTATCAAAAATTTTAAGGAAATTTTTCTAAATTGTATTCAAATCTCTTTTGTTAATTACAAAAATTTAAACAACAACTCTTTATTTTTTGAAGCTTTAAAAATTAAATTTGAAACAATTTAAAGGGTCAATTACAATTATAGCAATGAAAAATTAATAAAAAAAATATAATGAATTATTTTTCTTTTTTAATTTAATTTTCTGTGTTAAAAAAGACAAACAAATTAACGTTTTTTTAATTTATTTTTTAGCATCTGATGAAAAGTGCCTCGCATTCCTCCACTTTTTAACACGCACGAGAAACAATTAAAAACAAGCGCCGCATTATACGTACAATCGCCACCACTTAACCAAATTTCCGTCCCGCCGCCGCAATAAACGTGTACGCAGCCTTTTTTTACAATCTCCTTTCTGCATTTTCGCGGGCCCGTATCATAAAGAGTAATACGACAAGCAAGGAGGTCCGACCCGCGGCCGACTGCTGGTAATATGCCAGACAGGGCATACCCTATAATTTGGCGCAGCAGCAGCAAAAAGAGAGAGAGAGAGAGACTCGGCGCAAAATAATAATAACAATCATTTTTGAGCTACAATAACAACAACACTGCTTTTCCATTGCGGCTTCAACGAGAAAATAATAACGCCAACACACCGCATAAAAAATTATATTCATTATAACTCTTCGGCAATGAGGGAGGAAAGTTGCTTCAAATTGAATTGAATTTTGTTCTATACCAAACCTTCATTTAAATTATAATATACAAAGTTTATACAAAAATTGAATGATTTTAATTTTATTGTCATACATTTTTCTCCTCATACTAACACAAAATGATTTATGCAAAAATTTGAAAAAAATATTTAGCATTTGATACTTTAAATATTGAAATCAAACGGATTTTTTTTCTCTAAAAATGCTCTTGCTTTTTAAATTAATTTATTGATCTTTGATGAATCCCAATTGAAACGAAAAATTAATAATTATTTCAACTAAACATTTTTTTTTTATTACATTAATTTGGAAAATAATTTTAAACGAACTTAAAGACAACCAATGCTGACTGCTTTGGATTTTTGATTTTGGACTTGTTAGGAAAATTCTTCAAATTTTGCCCATCAATTCAACGTTTTCTTCCCAAATATATCAATTATTTTTTCCAACATTTAAATTTTTTTTAACAATTATTGGATTCATGGCATAAGCCACAGTAATTATAATTTTATTTCTAGCAAATTCACCAAAATTTTCAAATCAGATTTGCTTTTGAAGCACCTAATATATAATTTAAGAGTCCTGCATGCAATGCAAACATTCACTCTTCATACTTAATATAATGTGTGGGGCAGCGGCGTGCGCAACACCCGTCATTATTTAGCGTGATGAAGGAAGCTGCTCTTCTCGTATTTCTCGTGTGTGGCCGCGAACGGAATATTTTATGATATTGTTATATTGCGGCTATACCGAGTTCGTTCTTCCTAAACGTTCGTGGCCGCACACATTTATGTACAAACACACAGATGGACGGTTGCGAGGCTTGTTCACGCCTCTCGTAAATTGGGAGAAAAATGATTTTAACTGCCCGGCGGACGGGTTGAAACGAGCCGAAAATCACGGAACGCGCGAGCTAACTTGAATAAATTGAGAGAAATGATTTTCTCCGGCACGACTCTTGCGACCTCTCGTCGCGTTTCGGACTGAATTATTTGACTCGGAATCGGTTCTACAATTCGTGAAAGCTGTATTTTGAGCATTTTATTATGGCTAATGCGGGTCTATTAAAAATCTTAAATTAATAAACTGTGAGGTCAAAGGCTATTGCAGAGGAAATCGAACCTTTTTCTAAACTGTTCAAATTGTTTGATTTTTCCTCAAATTAAAATCTTTAAATTGATTAATTTTATTTGTAGATTTTGAAATATAATTTAATTAAAAAATTTCCATAATTTAGATTTCTATATAAAAATTATTTAAAATTGTAATCAAACTTCCACTGTTGAATTGGAACACTTTTTTACTTCTGGTTTAAACTTCAATCCTTCATTGTAAACTCATTTCTTCAGTGTTAATCATTTCCCACACTTTCTCTTCACTGTTTCAGAAATTTATCTGGTTTATCTCGGCAACTCGATTCGTTGCTCAACCACTTTGGGAATAAACCGAGCGATCAAGTTGATTGAAACTAATCACCTCCCGCGAGTCGGCTCGGCAGGTATCATTGATTCAAATTAAGGTCTACAGAGAGCACCGAATTAGAATTCGTTCGAATTTCAACACGAGTTGCTTTTTTATTTCCTCTGAAGAGACGAAAAACTCGTTTCCAGCTTTTCAGCCTATGCCATGGAAATAAATCGGCAATTTTCGCCAATTAGCGCGATTTGAAAAAGTGCCAACGCGATCGGAAATCGACTGAGCTGAGAATTGTGTACATAAATAAACAGCTGCTGGATAATGTGTATAAATAACAATTCATATAAATAACTCTTCAGAAGTTGTCTATATGAGCGAGAGCAGCCAACTAATTTATGCCCGCAGGTCGATTCGAGATAATAAACGGAGAATTTAAAACTGATATTTTGATATGTCGCCCATAAATCATTACCTCCCTGCTTGCCGCAGAGAATTTTATTATAAGAAATACAATATATTCGCGTGAAGTCGGAGGAGCTGCAGCGGTGGCAATAAACGGCCCCGGGATTTTTTCAATTGCTGTGTTAATTTTTCCTCTCTCTCTGCATCCCAAAACACGAACGAACCATATATTTTGTATAATAATATTTATGGCTTTTTTTTTTCTTATTTCGAAAAACAGCACGGAGGTGGTGGAATTTGCTGAAGGTTGTAAAAGCAAGACTTGTGAAAATCGCGAAGGATGAGGCAATAAAATTCGCGAATCGCCGCCATTGTGTGCAGGCGCTTTTTTTTCAATTACTATTTATTTTACTATTCGCGCAGAGACTGTGAGGATTTATTGCGTTTTTCCGTCCGTTTTTATTGCGTTATGGCCCCCTTCGCGCGCGGATCAACGACTGACTGCGCCTCAATGGTTCTCTCTTTTTGTGGGTCCGGCGGCGGCGGAGGAGGAAAATGAATCGGCGATGGGGCTTTTTGCCATCTCCAGCGCGCGATTTCATTTGGAACTATTGGCTTGTGAAATGAGAGCCGTGCCGTCGCTTATGGCGAATCGACTTGGCAGATAGTAAAATGAGAACGAAAAAAGTCGGAAGCAGAATTGATATAAAAAAAAACATCAAGGGTTTTGAACCGACAAAATTCATTTCTTTGCCTTGCATTTATTTTTTTTTATCAAACACCAAATTACTTCAAAATTGTCAATTTTTATATCACAAGCAC